GTCGAGCATTCATGTTGCCTATTGTTCCTTCTGTCGATTACGATTACTGTGCTTTTCTTATTCACTATATTTGTAAGCCTCTGTTTGGAGATTAAAAATTATTTGCTTTGTTTTTCCTAACAGTTGCTCGCGAAGATCTTCGCAAAAAGTTTAGCACGGGTTTATAGTGTATATTTTATTTCTTGGGTAATGTTTAGTAGTTTGCGTTTCTTCATTCATGTCACAGAAGTGTGCGGTTTGTATAGAATGTTTTCCATAAGTTAAATTGATTTTAAGTCTATGTTTACTCATTTAACTAATTTCCTGTTAGGAATCAAGCGGATCTGGGCAAGTTGTAACCGGAAGGCACGGTCATTAGATAGCATGACTTTACATCTCGCATGATTAGCATAAGCCACACCGAACTACCATGCTGTCCCTGTTATTCGCATGCCAGCGACCTGCAGTACATTGTTAGGCGGCGCAGTCAGGCGAATTCCTTGCTCGAGTGAATTGGCAGTTAACGAAAGAAAATTTGCGCTTCGTTTTGGTTTGAACTCGGCGCCCCTAAAGTGCGAAGCAAACCACTGACCCGTTGCGTAACTGTCCTACCCTTAACCGTGGTTAACCGCGATATCGAGGGAGATGAAAGCTGAGGGGATTTTAACTTGGTAGCACGTAACATATTTTCGGCACTGCTGAGAAACGCAGTTTTCAATATCGATGACCTTAATGCTGCCGTGATAGATGCTGTACGTGAATTTTTTTTCGTGGTTCAGCAGATGTTATAACGCTGATTTCGATTTTTTGCCATCAGTTTGGAATATTTCTGCTATAATGGAAATATGTACTTCCAGCATACGTTTTCACTGTGTAACTGCCACAAATCGTTAGTTCTCATCGTCATGGGAAGGTAGGGTTTGAATTTGTGATGTCTGAGCTCGTTGTTTGTGGTCTCATCTTTCTTCATCGCACTGTAGTTATTATTATAAAGGTACGCGTTTCTTTAGTCTGAACGACTGGTAATTATATCAGCTAGTTAGATATAAAAATGAATGACGAGAATCCTGAATCGCAAATTTAATCATGATAGGTTTCATCTGCAGCCTTCGGTCGTTGTGTCAAAATTCAGAATCGAGTAAAGTGTCTTGTTGCGGCAAGGGGCTGAAGACATTACGGCGTAAATGCTTAGTGGAAATGGAAACTAAAGCAATATAAGTATGGTTGTAGAAGAAGCGAAATTTGAATCGAAGCTAGTGATAAACGGATTCAGTTATCAAT